TAATTTGTGTGTGCTGTGGAGGGCAAACAGTAAGGCATGGGTCACTAGGGACTTTTTCTATGACTGGTTACACCATGCATTTGCCCCCAATGTGAAAGATTACCTAACTGAAAGGAAATTAGACCTTAAGTGCCTCCTGGTGTTAGACAATGCCCCTGGTCATCCTACAGACGTGGCAGAGCGACTTTATGGGGACATGAGGTTCATTAAGGTGAAGTTTTTGCCTCCTAATACCACTCCTCTCCTGCAGCCCATGGACCAGCAGGTTATTGCAAACTTCAAAAAACTGTACACAAAAGCTCTGTTTGAAAGGTGCTTTGTAGTGACCTCAGAAACTCAACTGACTCTAAGAGAGTTTTGGAGAGAGCACTTTAATATCCTCAATTGTGTAAACCTTATAGGTAAGGCTTGGGAGGGAGTGACTAAGAGGACCTTGAACTCTGCTTGGAAGAAACTGTGGCTAGAATGTGTAGACCAAAGGGATTTTGAAGGGTTTGAGGCTAACCCTAGGAATCCTATGCCAGTTGAGGAATCAATTGTGGCATTGGGGAAGTCCTTGGGGTTGGAGGTTAGTGGGGATGATGTGGAAGAGTTGGTGGAGGAGGACAATGAAGAACTGACCACTGATGAGCTGCTAGATCAACTTCAACAGCAAGAGGCCAGACCTGAGGAAACTGGTTCGGAGGAGGGGAGAGAGAAATTGAAGAAGTTGCCTACTACAAAGATTAAGGAAATCTGTGCAATGTGGCTGAAAGTGCAAACCTTTATGGATGGAAATCACCCTCACACAGCTATTGCAAGCCGTGCTGGTGACTATTACATTGACAATGTTGTGAAACACTTTAGGGAAGTCATAAAGGAACGAGAGGTACAGACCTCTATGGACAGATATGTTGTGCGACAGAAGTCCTAGTGGCATTAAAAGAAGAAGGGAAGTAACCCCGGAAAAGGACTTGACACCTCAAGTCTTAATGGAAGGGGATTCCCCTTCTAAACACTAAGACTCTCTCCTCCTCCCATCCCATCAATCATCACCAGATCTTCAATAAAGGTAAGTGTCATGTAACTGTGCATGCCTTTTTCAGTTTGTGTGTATTAAAATTAATATTTCATGTGGTAAAAATGTTTTTTTTTTCATACTTTGGGGTGTCTTGCACGGATTAATTTGATTTCCATTATTTCTTATGGGGAAAATTCATTCGCATAACGATAATTTCGCATAACAATGAGCTCTCATGAACGGATTAATATCGTTATGCGGGGGTCCACTGTATTGGTTTGGAAATACGGTAGTTGATTAGTGGAACAGTCTACCTAGTTGGGTTATTGAGGCTGAAACCTTGGGTAGTTTCAAATTTAGGTTGGATAAATACACGAGTGAGAGGTGTTGGATTTGAGTGGGACTTGCATATGAGTGGATAGTTTTTTTTTTTTAACAAGTCGGCCGTCTCCCACTGAGGCAGGGTGACCCAAAAAAGAAAGAAAATCCCCAAAAAGAAAGTACTTTCATCATTCAACACTTTCACCTCACACATAATCACTGTTTTTGCAGAGGTGCTCAGAACACAACAGTTTAGAAGCATATACTACCTATAAAGATAAAAAGGAAGAGCTTAAGTCTTGGGTGGCATTGAAAATTGGGTTGGGCAAATGTCTTGTTAGTGGGATGGATTGTGAAGGACCTGCCCAGTATAGGCCAGCAGGCCTGCTGCAGTGTTCCTCCTTTCTTATGTTCTTATGTTCTTCAACTCTATTTATCCTTGGTTAAGCCTCATCTAGATTATGCTACACAATTCTGGTCACCGTATTACGGAATGGATATAAATACACTGGAAAACGTATAGAGGAGGATGACAAAGTTGATCCCATGTATCAGAAATCTTCCCTATGAGGATAGACTGAGGACCCTGAATCTGCACTCTCTCGAAAGGCGTAGACTTAGGGGGATATGATCGAAGTGTATAAATGGAAAACAGGAATAAATAAAGGGGATGTAAATAGTATGCTAAAAATATCTAGCCAAGGCAGGACTCGCAGCACTGGTTTGAAGTTGGAAATATTCCAATTCAGGAAGGATATAGGAAAGCAGTAGTTTGGTAATAGAGTTGTGGATGAGTGGAACAAACTCCCCAGTACAGTTATAGTGGCTAAAACATTGTGTAGTTTTAAAATAGGTTTGATAAATACATGAGTGGGTGTGGGTGGGTGTGAGTTGAACCTGGCTAGCTTGTGCTACTAGGTCTGATGTATGTATAATGTTCGCCAAGAATGTAGTCCTGGCACGGGTCTCAATCTTGCGATGACCCGTCTCTGGCTCCCGAGGGAGAAAGGTTTCTACAATGATGCGACGGATGCTGCTCAAGCACTCTTCTGGTCAGTTCACCTGGTGCATCTTGTAAGCGACAACACCATATGTACTCCTAACAGTGGACACTAGTGAGGAGAAGGATACATCGTTATCACGGGCAACAGCTTGTCTGGTTCTTTGACTCCATGGTACACTAGTGTGGCCGCAGTCATCTCTGGGTCCTCTTCGGGAGGGGATATCAGTGCTAGTTGCCTACGGAGTGTCTCAGTAATTTCGCACTCCAGAGGATAGTGTGTTAGGGGGCGCTGGACAACGTGTTGGCAGTACTGGCACGTCTCCTCCTCAGCCTTGTCTACCATCATTTTGGCTGTGGGAAAGCCCAAACGAAGCCGATGGATGGCGGTACTCTGCGCTCTGGACCAGCTTCTATCATATGGAGGGGTTCTCCTTGAGTCTATGCTCGGTACCACTGTTGAGATGTGGTATCACCTAAGACCTCCTCCATAAGTTTCATGGCTCTGGCAGCCATCAGTTTGGTCTGTCATAGGCTGATGGGGACAGTAATCCCAACTTGTGGATAATCTGTGGCTGCCTTGGCTGCATCATCTGCCATCTCATTTCCCCGGATGCCAGCATGGCTGAGGGTCCAGTTCAATGTTGATCTGTTACCCTGAACTTCTAAGGCTGTCATTATGCTCTGGATCGATGTGATGAGGTGAATATTGTCCTGTGGTTGAGAATGGGAGAGGGCATTGATTGCAGAAGTGGAATCAACATGTATGACAGGTCGGAGTCAATGTCGTAGGGCATGTGACAATGCCTGGTGAATCGCCACCAGCTCAGCTTGAAGGATCGTGCAGTGGTCAGAGAGTCGCCAGCCTTGTGTGTGACCATTGTGGTACAGTCCAGGTGCTACTGTCTTCCTGTCAGGATCGATAGAACCATCTGTGAAATTCATTGCATATGTGCCTCCCTCTGCCAGTGCCATGCTTTTCTCAGCATTATTGCTGAGGGTGTCTTGACTGCAGAGACACTTAGAGATGAGTAGTTGCATGATGCAAACATTGGCTGGGTCTGGGTGCCAGGGAGGTGGTGGATGATACCCAGCAACAGGAAGGAACATCAAAACTTCTCAAGGAGTAGTTGTATAGGCAGCAGCTTCTGCCCAGCAGCACAGAACGAATGAATCCAGGAGTAGTCTGTGAAGAGAGTTGGATTTCATGTCATGGTTGTCAGTATCCGTCTCCTTAGCGGGGTACCATGCTGCTGGTGCAGAATCATGGCTACTTTGCATGCCCATACAAAAGTGTTGGTATAACTATACTTTCATACATTCTTCTCTTTGCTTCCATGGATACAGCTCTTTGTCTCCACAAACTCCTCAGTGCACCATTCACCTTTTTCCCCTCATCAGTTCTATGATTCGCCTCATTTTTCATAGATCCATCTGCTGACATGTCCACTTCCAAATATCTGAATACATTCACCTCCTCCATACTCTCTCCCTCCAATCTGATATCCAATCTTTTGTTACCTAATTTTTTTTGTTTTCCTCATCACCTTACTCTGTCCTATATTCACTTTTAATTTCCTTCTTTTACATACCCTACCAAACTCGTCCACCAACCTCTGCAACTTCTCTTCAGAATCTCCCAGAAGCAAAGAGCAACTATAACAATTCCCACTTTGTGTTAGATTCTTTAACTTTTTTCCCCACACCTCTTGCCAACACCCGAGCATTCACTTCTCTTACAACTCCTTCTATAAATATGTATATTGAACAACCATGGTGAACATCACACATCCCTGTCTTTGCCTACAAATTTTCACAAATAAGTCCTGATTATAATTGTGTCTATTAGTCCAAGCAAATTTCATATCCACATTTTTTTTCCAAACATTCATGAGTGTATGGTCCTTAATTTAATTTCCTTCATATCTCCTTGGATAATCTTGAGTTTTCTTTCCACTGGTCTTCTCCATCCTCATCCTCAGAGGCATCAGAATGTGCTAACACCAAAACTTGCTTTAACATAGATTTTTATACTGCTGTATATGTAAAAGATATTAACTGTGAAAGACTGGATATCAAATTGGAGGGAGGAAATATGGGGAAAGTGAATATACTCAGATATTTGGGAGTAGACGTATTGACATATGGATTAGTGAAAGACAAGGTAAACCATGGAATAGATTATGGGGAAAGTTAGGTGGTGTGGAGGCAGTTGAGGAAACCGAAGTTCATATATGCAGGCATATTGGGAAATGTATAGTGGTATCATTGCTTAACTATGAGTATGAGGCATGAACTAGCTGTTGCAGTAAGACGGAGGCTGGAGGCAGAAATATCGAGTTTGAGAGCAGTGTGTGATGTGAGTGTTTTAGATTTTTTGACATCAGCTATCTCCCTGCCTGCACTTCAAAGGATGTATGGTGATGTGATTTAGATCATTTTTATTGCAATATCTGCACTAGTTTGGAAAGATAGCAAGATATAGTATGATATAAAAATTATTTTTGCTTCTTTGGGTCACTGCCTTGGTGAAAAACAGCTGTGTATTAGGATACAATATATGCTATAGTGAAGGATTAGGATACTATACCTTCAATCATGTGATCAATTATAATCTAGTTCTTCAAGTAAAATTAAAAAATAAAGACAATTCATTTATTCATACATTGATTTTTGCAGGTTGGAAAAACCCATTCATATCTCTATCACTCTGCATGCATTTGGGGTGTGGAGACTTACCCATCTCAGGGTGAAAGCATCAAAGGAGTGATGCCTCCTGGTTCTTTTATCACCTGTTCTTCTGATGACACCATACGTGTGTGGAATATTGATCCTGCCATGTCCTCAGATACCTTATACAAGAGAAATATATATAGCAGTGTAAGTAAAGAAAACATACCATGTGTTTTTGTTTTAGTTTTGGATTTGCTCAGTAGTTTAAAGCTGTATGGATTTCTAGTTAGGCATTTTATAGTGTGTACTGTATACAGTAAAACATCTGTAATTGCCACTGCCACACACCACCACACCATTGCTAAGTGAACATGGTTGTAAGTGCTATCAAAAAGCTCCTGGACTGCTGCAAGAAAAACATATAGGCTTAACTAATCACCTTGTTGAAGTTGTCTCCCTTGAAGTACTCTCCTTGGAAGGTTATGTAGTGATCCTAACTTCTCTGCCACTTCTTGAAACATTTTTGGAACTCTTCTTTCATAATGGCATCTAGCACGGCCTGCCATTCTGCTTGAATCTCCTCCAAGTTGTTAAAATGCTGCACCTTGAGTGCCATTTTTATTTTGGGTAAGAAAAAGAAGTTGCAGGGGACTAGATCTGGGGAGTAGGGGTTGGGGGGGGACCTCTGCCATGTTGTTTATGGCCTATAAAACAACCATCTTTCTGGTCTTAAATCAGCAAGTGGATTACAAATTTTGTAGCCTCATGTTCAAATTTTCAGTCAGAATACTTGGGCATGATCCATAAGAAATTCCCAAAGTGTTGTAATGTCCTGGATATTCTGGCAACAATCTTCATGAATAGCCTTCTTTACTTTTTCAATGTTTCCATCTGATACTGACATTGATGAACAACCAGAGCTTTCATCCTCCTCATCTGACATTCATCTTGCTTTGAATTGAGAAGTCCAGTGGCACTGAAATTCTCCTCACTACTTCACAAAGGAGTGTACTGCACAGCATGGTCTATACTGCACCATATTTTACCAAGGAAGCACACACAAATTTGAGTACGGGAAATTTTTGATAGCACCTCGTATATTCAGCATTTGAACTTTATTTTTATATCTATTTCTTACATATAAAATGTTTAAAGTATTAACCAGTTTGATGTTAAACATTTATTATAAAAATATTCATTACTTGCTTGCATTGCTTATGCAATTTGCAGGATTCTGAAATGGTAATTTATTTATGCTTTATGGCTTTTTTATAATTAACTCTCTCACTGTTGTGACACCTGAAAGTAAAAGTGCTGACAGTGTCATGATTTTAAGAAAAAATCTGAAATGGTAGAGAATCTTTTTCTGAAAGTAATGACACCAAAAATATTAAATTTGTTGGAAAACTTAGTGAATTACATGAGCACAAAGTTGGTGGTCTAAGCGCAAGTTACACATTGATAATTTTGCCCATTGTGAGTGCTTATTCAATTATCAGAACTATGCTATAAAGTGCACAGAAGTTGGTAATTTAGCCAGAGTTACATAAAATTCAACAAATTCCAATTTAAAACAGAGTCCAAAATAAACACTAAATGTATTCCACACACTAAAACAACTTAAACTCTGTTGATTAATCGTGTCTCCGGGCCTCTCTCATATTACACTTCCCTCCATTTTTAATCTGTTATTATGCAAAAAATTTACGTTTTACCCTATTTCTTGGATTAATAAAGTATAACTAAAAATGATTGGTCATGATTTAGGGCATTCCAACAATTGAAGCAGATATAGTAGAAACCCATAAAACAGACCTGGGGAAGCATACCCTTTCTCAGGATAATTGTTAAGAATCTCATATTTCTGCTGCTTTGAGGCATATTTCAAATTACTGGTCCTGAAACCAACTATTATTTCATCTTGTGTTCTATCAATGTATGCTATAAGATAGCCAAAACCAAAAGAACCATATGGGAGGGCCCTGCTTATACACCAGGTTAGGTTCCAGGCTACCACTGCAAAGTGAATTGCCCTTTTTTTCTCATTTAAATGCATATAGAGTAGGGGCTCGCTTTATGGCATTCCGCTAATACAAACTTTACAAATCATGACCAAAACTTGCTGTATGGCTCCCCCACCTGACTTTCTAATACGGTCACTGCATCCCACCCAGTTTGTTTACATTCTTCATGTGCTCTGTGACCACAGTGTCTCTCCATTATGTCTGGAAACTTTCCAGAATTTCGAGTATTTTAAAGTTATTTCATGTTTTATATTTTCTTTCTTTCAACACACTGGCCGTATCCCACCGAGGTGGGGTGGCCCAAAAGGAAAAACGAAAGTTTCTCCTTTTACATTTAGTCGCCTCTTACAACACGCATGGCTTACGGAGGAAGAATTCTGTTCCACTTCCCCATGGAGGTAAGAGGAAATAAACAAGAACAGGAACTAGTAAGAAAATAGAAGAAAACCCAGAGGGGTGTGTATATACTATATGCATGTACATGTATGTGTAGTGTGACCTAAGTGTAAGTAGAAGTAGCAAGACATACCTGAAATCTTACATGTTTATGAGACAGACAAAAGACACCAGCAATCCTACCATCATGTAAAACAATTACAGGCTTTCATTTTACACTCACTTGGCAGGACGGTAGTACCTCCCTGAGCGGTTGCTGTCTACCAACCTACTACCTAGGATGTTTTATATTTACTCTGATAATTATACTTACGAGTACCTGTACTGAAATAAACTTACACACAATTCTGGCATGCAGGTACACATTAAAATCACTAAGAGTGTCTTATTAGTCTTGAGGATGCCATATTAATAATGATAATAATAATACACAATCACTCTGAGGCGTATTAAATGTCATTTTTTTTTTTTAACAAGTCAGCCGTCTCCCACTGAGGCAGGGTGACCCAAAATGAAAGAAAATCCCCAAAAAGAAAATACTTTCATCATCATTCAACACTTTCACCTCACTCATACATAATCACTGTTTTTGCAGAGGTGCCCAGAAGACAACAGTTTAGAGGCATATACGTATAAAGATATACACGTATCCCTTCAAACTGCCGATATCCCATACCCTTCCTTTAAAGTGCAGGCATTGTACTTCTCATATCCAGTACTCAAATCCGGCTATATAAAAATAACCGGTTTCCCTGAATCCCTTCACTAAATATTACTCTGCTCACACCCCAACAGCTCATCAGGTCCCAAATATCATTCGTCTCCATTCACTCCTATCTAACACGCTCATGCATGCTTGCTGGAAGTCCAAGCCCCTCACCCACAAAACCTCCTTTACCCCTCCCTCCAATCTTTTCGAGGACGACCCTTTCTTCCCCTACAGATTTATACACTCTTCGTGTTGTTCTACTTAGATCCATTCTCTCTAAATGACCAAACCACCTCAACAACCCCTCTTCAGCCCTCTGACTAATACTTTTATTAACTCCACACCTTCTCCTAATTTCCACACTCTGAATTCTCAGCATAATATTTACACCACACATTGCCCTTAGACAGGTCATCTCCACCGCCTCCTCGCTGCAGCATTTACAACCTAAGCTTCACACCCATATAACAGTGTTGGAACCACTATACTTTTATACATTCCCTTCTTTGCCTCCATAGATAATGTGTTTTTATCTCCACAAATACGTCAGTGAACCACTCACCTTTTTTCCTTCATCAATTCCATGTTTAACCTCATCCTTCATACATCTATCCGATGAAACGTCAACTCCCAAATATCTGAAAACATTCACTTCTTCCATACTCCTCCTCTCCAATTTGATATCCAGTTTTTCTTTATCTAAATGATTTGATACCCTCATCGCCTTACTCTTTTCTATGTTCAATTTCAACTTTCTACCTTTACACACACTCCCAAACTCGTCCATTAACCTTTGCAACTTTTCTTTAGAATCTCCCATAAGCACAGTATCAGCAGCAAAAAGTAACTGTGTCAGTTCCCATTTTGTATTTGATTCCCCATAATTTAATCCCACCCCTCTCCCCCAACACCCTAGCATTTACTCTTTTACAACCCCATCTATAAATATATTAAACAACCATGGTGACATTACACATCCCTGTCTAAGACCTACTTTTACCGGGAAGCAGTCTCCCTTTCTCCTCCACATGCTAACCCACTTTTCACATCCAACCTTTATTTTACTCCACATAATCCTTGAATTAATACATTTATACTCCCTCTTTTCCTGCCATAGCTTAACCTTTAACATTATTGCTACTCCTTCTTTAGCTCTAACTCTATTTGAAACTCGTGACCTATTCCCATTTACTTCTCTCCACTGAAACTCTCCCACCCCCTTCAGCTTTGTTTCGCTTAAAGCCAGGACATCCAGCTTCTCATTCATAACATCCACAATCATCTCTTTCTTATCATTCACACAACATCCATGCACATTCAGACATCTCACTTTGACAATTTTCTTCTTAATTTTAGTAATCTGTACAGGAAAAGGGGTTACTAGCCCTTTGTTCCCGGCATTTTAGTTGACTTTTACAACATGCATGGCTTACGGAGGAAAGATTCTTATTCCACTTCCCCATGAATATAAAAGGAAAAGTAATAACAAGAACTGTTAAGATAAAATCAAAGAAAACTCAGATGAGTGTGTATAAACATGTACATGTATGTGTAGTGTGACCTAAGTGTAAGTTGAAGTAGCAAGACGTATCTGTAATATTGTATATTTATGCGACGTTCAAAAGACACCAGCAATCCTACCATCATGTAAAACAATTACAGGCACTCGTTTTACACTCACTTGGCAGGACGGTAGTATCTCCCTGGGTGGCTGCTGTCTGCCAACCTACTACCTATATTTAAATGTCATATATTAAGTTAATATAAACGTCTTGCTACTTCTACTTACACTTAGGTCACACCACACATACATGTACACGTTTATACACACTCATCTGAGTTTTCTTTGTTGTTATCTTAATAGTTCCTGTTCTTATTATTTTTCCTTTTATATCCATGGGGAAGTGGAATAAGAATCTCTCCTCTGTAAGCCATGCGTGTTGTAAAAATCTACTAAAATGCCGGGAACAATGGGCTAGTAACACCTTTTCCTGTACAGATTACTAAAAAAGGAAGGAAATTGTCAAAGTGGGATGTCTGAATGTGCGTGGATGTTGTGCAAATGATAAAAAAGAAGA